TGTCGAATAGCGAGAACGCCTCCTTGAACTCGGAGATCTGCTCGTTGGAGAGTTGGTCAGCCATTTGTCCTTCGGATGTAGTGGGTTATCTGGTGCAAAGATTCGAATGCCTCACGCCACAAGCGAGTTGCGGATGGGGCGAATGCAGACAAAGAGATAAAGCCAAGCGAAAACAAAAAGGGAGAGAAATGTGTCAGGTGGGAAGGCGCAGAGTGCGTGCGTGTATCAGAGAGTGAGAGGGGGAAAGAGAGAAAGGCACAAAACACTATCGCTCACAGGCACACTTCCCACCAGCATCAAAGACACAGAACTGTCGTCCCTTCTCAGGCAAAAGGGGGACGCACCGGTGGTGGACCAGCAGCGCACACATGCACTGAGGCAGAGAGAGAGAGAGGGACAAAGAAATCACGCCTTCCCCCCCCCCCTAAGACTCAGCTGCACGACAGAGTCACGCCTACTTGACCTGCCGCGTGTTCAGCCGCTTTAAGTTGCCGCGCAGTTGCTCCATTAAGTCATTCGACTCCAGGGAGCGCACCGCCTGAACCTCCGACGCGTTTTCACCACCAGCGGTCAGCGCGGCGAAGTGCGCCTGCAGGCTCGACACCACCTGGCCTTTCTTCGCAGTGCCGCACGATAACTCCGCGCGGTATTTGTAAGTGATGACGCAACTCATCGGTGCACACACCGCCACGGCGTACTCTACGTGATCCGTCGGCTGTGGCCGCGATGTGAAGTGCAGCCATTCACGGCGCAGCTCCGCGTCGTTCGCGACACGAGCAGCCTCCACAGCGGCGGGAGCCGCGCGTGACTGCGATGGGTTGGCCCGCTCCTTCTGCTTCCCTTGTTGCGGTTGAGCTTCACCTTCGCGTTCGTGCTGCTCCGCCGCCTGCTCTTCAGCCTGTGATTCGTTGCTGCCGGCAGAGGGGGAACGATGTCCATCCACCTCCCTTTCTTCATCGTCAAAGTGTGACACAACCTCCACATCCTCCTCTTCTTCTTCCTCGTCATTGTTGTTGGTATGGTCCTTGTCACCGGCCGTCGGCAGCACCGGGTCCTGGTGCTTCTCCCTCGCCTTCTCCCGCTCGAGCGCCAGTATCTCCTGCTGCACCTTCGACAGCCGATTGCCGTTAAGAAAGGCGCCGCGCAGACGGTCCTCCTCGTCCTGGTCCTTGTACTTCTCCTGAATCTTCTTCAGCTTCTTTCGCTGGTGCTTCGTCAACTGTTTCGTGCCTGGTGCCACTGCCGCGCCGCCCTTGGCACCCCCAGCTGCGGATTCTGCTGCCGCCGTTGTCCTTGCAGCAGAGGCACATGAGGGAGCAGAAGGCGCGTCCTTCTCTCCGCCACTTTGTTTTTGCTTCTCCAGCTGGTGCTTCTGTTCCTTCTGCTTCTGCTGCGGAGGGAGAGAAAAAGGAGGGCGGCGACGGGGCCCGCGCAGCTCCTCGACGGACGGCAGCGGGTGCAGTGCGGTGGCGGTGTCGGGCAGCAGAAATGCGCCGCCCTCCGCCTCTGCCGGGCGGCGTTCGCCTTCGGGAACGAAGTTCTGCAGCTCCTCGCGGTCCGTCGGATCAATGCCGCGCGACGTGACGCGAAACAGGAGACCGCACGCCAGCGTGAGCGGCTGCGGCCGAAGGTATTGCTTCTGCCCCTCAAACAAGTAGCAGCCCGTCGCGGTGCCGCCGACAATCTGCGACGCATGCACCCACCACGCGCCGACGCTGAACTTGCTCTCCCACGCCGAGCTGCGGCTCACGCACCACGCCCCGGCCTCGTCGAGACTCGTCAAGTGCACAGGACACGTTCTCGCGGTGACTTCATTCCTCTTCTGCTGCTGCTGCTGCTGCTGTTGCTGTTGTTGTTCCTCCTGTGGCCCACCCTTATCCTCCTCCTTAGCAGTGAACGCGGTGGTCCACGCGGAGCCGACGGGTCGCAAGACGCATGGAAACGCGCCGTCCACGTCGCAGTGCACAAACACATCGCCGAGCTGCATGACACGCCGAACGAGAATCTCCGTCGTCTGTGCATCTTTCCCTTGCAGCACAAAGTCACCACAGGAGGTGCGGAACCACGTGAACTTTTCCCACCAAAGGCGGTGCCGCTCCTTCACAATAGCCTTCTTGGTCTGCTGCTTTGCCGCGAGCCGCTCGCCCTTCTTCTCCGCCCCCGCCAGCGCCTTTGCTGTTGCTGCAATAGTTTTCTCGTGCTTCAGGCGATTCGCCTTCTTCTTTGAAAAGTACGTCGCCGCGTTGGCGTACGCCGTTTTACTGAGCTCCACCTCAATGACGCACGGCGCCACGTCGCAGTCTTCCTCTCGCTCCTCGTCCTCATCCTCCTTCTCCTGCTGGTCACCACGCTCCAGCAGCACGCTGATGCTGTTGCGCTCGAGGAAGAGCTCGTGCACCATGTACGCCACCGGATGGCCCTCCGCGTGGCGCCGCTTCAGCAGCAGCCGCAGCGCGTCCCACTGAATGCCCGCGGCAAGTGCGCCATTGATGAGCCCAATCGCCTCATCGATTTTGTCGGCGTTCTGAATGATGCACTCGCCCTTGCGCTGGTTCTCCAGCTCATCCTGCTCCAGCGCGGTGAGGCGGCGCTGGTGGTCGCGTTCAAACTTCTCCCGCTTGGAGAGCACCGAGGTCGTCTTCTTCTCATTGTGCTGCTCGATCTTCTCCGTCTCGGTGTAGAGGAAGAAGGCGTCGCACACGCCACCGAAGCTGTCGCGGTACGACGTCACAACACCGTCGCTGCGGTACTGCGCGAGCAGCACTGGGCTGAAGTCATCGTATTGCACCACCTGCGGCTGCAGCGCCGCACCCCCGCCGGCATTTGGCTCCCCCTCTTCCACTTGTGGCTGCGGCTGCTGTTGTTGTTGTTGTTGGTCGGCATTGGCGCCACCCCTTCTCTTCTTGCCTTGCTTGTTCTTGTTGTGGATCAAATATCCGCCAGGCGGCAGTGCTGAGAATGCAATATCCCACGCCTGCAGCATGCCCGGCAGCAGCTGCTCGAACATCTCCGCCCCGCTGCACGTCATGTCGCCCTTCTTGACGTTTTTCACGCCCGTCACCGTCAAGATGTGGTCGGCGAGGTCGGGGCCAAAGTGGTGCACCGCCGACAGCGTCGAGCGCGTCGTCTCGTAGTCGGCGTGGCGCGCAAACACCGCGCCCCACTCCTGCCGCAGCGCCTCCGTGCGCCGCTGCTCCGTCTGCTGCTGCTCCGCCTCGCGCTGCTCGAAGGGCTTTGTCACGGGGTACAGCTCGCGCACGAACATCCTAATGTCGTCGTCCCTGTGCGTGCGCAGAAGCAGCATGATGCGGTACTCGTGGTCCGTCAGTACAACGTTGCCCTTCGAGAAGAGCTCAATGATGATGTGGTACGACGCGCCCTCTCCAACACCAAAGCGGAAGTCGACGGTGCGGTCGTGCTGCAGCTGCGTGACGGCGTCGAGGCGCCACGCCCGGACGTGCTTGCGCAGCTTGAGCGTGAACTGGGACGGTACCTTGGGCTTCTCCCGCACCAGCTGCGTGAGGTGCATGCGCACGCCACTCTCCAGCAACAGCGTCTTCTTGTTCTCGCCATGGCCGAACTTGAAGAGAAACATCTTCGAGGAAATGTCGTAGATGTTCAGCAGGCGTAGGCCCTGCAGCTCCCTGCGCATCTCCTCCACGGACGCCCGCACGTCGAGCGCTGTCATGCGCTGCTTTACCATGTTTCCCCTTGTCCCTGATGTGTTGAGGATGTTTCCTTATATAGAAATATATATATATATATATATATATATTCTTGGTCTCTCTCTCTCTTTTTTTTATCGTTTTGGTTTTGCTTGCCGCTATGCGTCCTCTAGTGGACGCTGTTTCCCCCTTTCTTCGCGTTGGGTCCTGCAGCGCTTGGCTTTTATCTTCTCTTTCCGTTCCTCTCCAGCTTCCTTGGCCACGCAGCGAGGAGAGAGACGCAGGCGTAGTTCGCCAAGCAGCAGCAGCAGCAGCAGCCGCTCGCACCGCCACGTAGCCCCCAGCAAGACCCCGGCAGCAGGCATACAACGACGACAAGAGCCAAAAACAGTGGTGGCGGCAACTACACAAACAGCAGCGAACACAGTCACCACCACCACTGTCAACATCAGCAATGGCACCCCCCCCCCCCCNATGGCCCCCCCCCCCCCCTCTTTTTTTTTCTGTTAACCGCCTTTCTCCTCCCTCACCCAAATCCCTCAAGAAAAATCACACCGCTTACAATAATAGCCCACATCCACATCCACACCCGGCCGGATCTTCACGCTTCTGCTAACTTCACACTACGGAGCCGACAACTACGCTCCATTCCCCACCTTCTCGGTAACTCCTTCCCTGTGTCCTTGTACTGCGCCTGCGGGCCAGGCCTTCTCCAGTTGACCAATGACGCCGCTAACGTCCTCCTTTGTCATACCGATACCGCAGGCCATAACAAGCAACGGGCACGGCGGCGTCTCGTCGGTGTGCATGCCGTAGTTGCGGAACGACAAACCGCACAAGTGCGTCTCCGCTGCTTTCGGCACCACAACACGCGGCCCCGTCACGGCACTGCGGAAAAGACGGGCGCCAACTGCCTCCGCCTCCGCTGCACCGCCCAGTGTTCGCATCGTCACTGCAAAGCTGATGTCATTGCGTGGGTACCCACCCGTTATGGCCTGCACTCCAGCGGCAGCTGAAGCCGCAGCAACTGCTGCTGCTTCCACCACATTCTTCTTTTCCACATCCTCTGTGAGAACCACTTCGCCACGCGCTAGCGCGAAACTGTTCAACTCCTGCTCAAGCAGCTCCCGCACGGAGTAGCGCTCCTCCCAAAGGCGTTTGAAGCCCTCGTGGCCGAGGCTCAGTGCGGTGATGAAGAGGTCGACAACGGGCGAGATGCTCGCACGGCCCGCGTAGATCTCGGCAACACGGGCCACCACTCTCTTCTTGCCACTCAGAACCGCTCCGCCGACAGGAACGAGGAAGTTCTTGTCCCCCGACTGCACCACTGCGTCAACGCGGCCCAAGCGTATCGCAGCGTCAAGGCGGCGCATAATCACGCGACTCTGCACGCCGTACGCGTTGTTCACAACATGCGGGATGCCAAGCGCCATACAGAGCCGTGCAACGGCGACCACATCATCCGGCAGCCGCGGGGCGAAGCAGCTGGTGGTGGACAGCACGCACACCACAAGCGCGGGCCCACCAACGCGACCAATTGCGGCGGCGATGTCGTCCACGTGCGCCTGCAGGAAGGACGGGTGGAGGGAGCCGCCCCGGCCGGCCCGTGGGCTG